TGTGGAATCTATCAACTATATATGGGACTTGGTGTCCTTGGTACGTATTTTACTTTGGTGTGTAAGAAAAGTATGAGAAACAAAATGTAACTGTGAAAATTAAATGATAGTCGTGTTCTCTAGTAGAGTTTACTCCATAAGTTAAGATTAGTTAGAGTTCCCACTCAACATATCCTGATTTTAAAAGGCCAATTTTCCTCACAAGTAATAATGATGTTGTGGTTATGATCTTTGGATGTTTAAGCAACGTAATAATAATGAAGAAATGTATATTGTTATCAGAAGGGCATGACGCTGAAAGAAATAAATGCAATAGAATGGACCGACCACAAGGAAAGCAATGCACGGTGGTATGTGGAGCACATGTAAGTTGCATGGGTCGTCGCTCATTTAGTCATTCATTATATTATATACATTTTCCAAATTTCAATTTATATGATAACCCATATACTAGTATTGTTTTCATCGACGGCCCTACTCTAACTCGGCTAATAAATGATTCTCTCCAATAACCACAGCTTTCTTTATATAAATCAACCGGTGGGTGCTCGTTACTTCGTTAGTCGTTTGTGTATAAGTAATGTACATTTATCGTCGTCACTTCATCTAACTCCATTGGTTTTTGTGTTTGTGTCGAATAGATGAACTGAAAAATGTCATAAATTATGCTTCACTATTCCATAGGTTTATTTTTCAATTGTAAACCTTAAACATTTTCATTTTCAATTAAATATTTACAACTTAGAAAAAAAATTAAAAAAAAATGAACATTTATCTGATGACGATGGACAAGTCGTGGTCGTTTAATGTCATTAAAAAAATAAAAAATGATAATAATAATGGACAAGTCGTGGTCGTTGTATACAAATATCTTGGATTTTTCGCAAACATAAACGATTATTGATTTGTTAACTTTTAAAACTAAAAGCTATGAACTTTCAGTTACAAACATATTCAATCCAATGTACTTGATAAACAAAAAAACTCTTGATTTGTTAAAAACTGGTTATGTGATAGAATATTCCTTGGATTTGTTATGGTCTCGCGTATAGCCAGGTCGAACCAATGGTAATTTGTTGGTTTGGACGACTTGATCGAGTATCAACATACAGTACATTTTAAAACTTGTTTGTATGTGACTAAAACACACGATAAAGTTAGAAGCGTAAACATTAAACAATGTGTACAAAAATGAAAAATACGAAATAATTTATATTACCACATGTTGTTGGTTTTTTTTGTTGGTTAATGATATGTTGTATTTTCTGAATCCCTTATATATTAATTGGAGAATAATTTGTGAGAAGAACCTTATGTATCATCTCCATAATCACTTTCATTAAACACAATTGTGACATGGTTTGACAAAATTGTGACATGGATTGACAAAATTGTTACATGACAATTTTGAATCAATAACAAAATCTTGTACAACTAAATTTATATTTGTTACTATAAATAAACCCAA